GGCGGAAATAACTTGCCAACGACGAATCGAACTGGTGGCAAAAGCATGGAAGCTGCCAGTGTGACAACAGTGACACGGAAGAGCCACGCAAATAATGCATTAGAGAAACGGAACCGCGACGAAAAACGAAAATTTGGTCCGTAACTTTGTGTTCCGTCGGCATCTCCAGACGCGTACAAACCCCAACTGCGTCCAACAAGAGGTAGGTCGACGGGCTCGTGGAAATGGGTGGCCATTGTACCCATACCATCTATAGTTTGTACCCCAAAAATATTTGCCTTTGGCAGCCCATCCTTTCTCTTTCCGTTGGGATTGCCAACAGGTTTAACCGGGGAGATGGAGTGGATATTGATGGCTGCGAAAAGGCGAGAAAGTGAATTGTTTGCAATAGAGGTGGAAATAGAGTCCACGGCACCACCACTAGCACTTCCCTTAATATCGTACAGTGCTCCGACAACTTCAAGAGTGGGCAATGAAAAGTTCCTCCGTATCGACGTCACCGCTAAATACGTCGATATGTCCGCCGGCACTGCACCCCAGCCACAGGTGATGACCATCTATCAACGCCACGTTAATTCCGGATCTAGAATAACAGGGGGTCAATGTTACCTTTGACCCCGAGGTCTTGGCCAGTTTTTCGTATTTCTCAATCATCTCCTGCCGCCATACAGGCTCTCCAGCTCTGTTGCTATTATGAGTATATAGAAGAACAAATCCATCTTTTTATTACTCACCCGTCAACATAATGAGTACCATGTTCAGCACAAGCCTTGAAGACCACGGAGCCACAGGTCGTTCCATATGGCCCTATTATGTTGACCAGAACACGAGTTGACTTTGCAAGGCTGACAATCTCTGACTCGGAAGAGAGATCCAAGACGATTAGAGCTCCTAGAATACCGAGTCATTGCTTATTCTCGACTTCATTATCATAACAGCCATCCACTTACCTCCAGCTTCAGCCACCTTCATCTCCGTCGCCACTTCTTCGAGTTTGGCCTTATTGCGCCCTGCAATAGCCCATCGCACATTACTGGGCATATTGTCAACCATGTACTGGACGCAAAGCTGCCCGGTATAGCCTGTAGCTCCGAGGAGAACGAAATCATAAATTTGACTCATGGTGCGTGAAGTTTATGCGTGCGATAGATGGTTACTTCGGAATTACATTTGTGTACGTTAGAGTAAAGGAAATTACTGCTTTTATACATGCGTTCGTGCTAGCTGTCTATCCGATAAGGGCGGAAATTAAACTAAACGTTAATCTATATTTGCATATCAAAAAGCATGGTTTGTAATGTAATGTAAATCGGGCTTCCCCAATCATTTTGAGATTATATAACGCAACCTGGTGGTGTACAGTGTTGATTTCCTTGATGTAGGCGGGGGATTATATAATCTGGCCTAAGAATTAAGTGAACCTTGTTCAGATGCGATAGCAAGTATCCCCTAAATTAGAGCAGTAACCGTGCCCAGAGTCAATATTGGCCGTTGGAACGGGGAAACAGCCTAGCGACGGCGAAATTTAAATCCCGTTTCCTTCGCGCAAGTAGAATGCGCGCATTCAGTCAGGCAATAAGGTAAATCCAATATTATCGCAAATCAACTTCCGTGTTATCGGGTACTACAGTCGGGTAATCATTAAATTCACAAATCCGAATCGGGGAATTTGTCAAATTTTTTAATCGAGAAGATATTGTGCAGCGATACTACAAAGTCGGGGCAATTCCAGGCCGCGGCTCAAAATAATCGTAGCAGTCGGCCTACTTACTACTTAGGCAATAGGAAGTAAACTCCGCCGCTGTGTAAGCCGTCTCTCCTCTGTCCTCCACCCCTGGCTTTTTTCGTCAGCCATGCTTGAGCTATTGTTGATATTTTGGTCCCGCAGCAGGTCAGTCGGGTTTTCAATTGGTATATGGCCCATGAATGTCACAACGCGTAGTGGAGAGCTAAGTACTAGTATATCGACATGTTCAGAGACTTTGCCACTAAATTACTTGTTCTACATTCTAAGCTACACACAGACACATGACTGTAACGCGTCTTCGACGTCTTGTCGTTTAAATCCAGGGGATTGCCCAAGAGAAACGGCGCGCAGAAGAAGCACTGTTCATGTTAGACATGAAAGCTAAGAGAGACACAGCCAAGTTCATAAACATACCTTGGACGAATTGTTGTAAACTGACGGAACCCTTTGGGCAAGCTGATTTAGACTGGGTGTGGGCACGTTGACATCTATGGAGGCTGACTCGTTTTGCCTTGAGAAACATTTCCAAGTCCGTAATATCAAACCATGTACCGTCCAGTCGTGCTGCCCAGGCAGGTGGGACCTTTTGCAGAGGGGCCGCAGTTATCACGGAAGGCTCTGCTCTTTTGAAAATAGTTGGCGAGTGTGAAGAAGTGTGAGATAAAGGTTGAGGCCTAGTATCACCGTAGTGGGTTCCAGCACCTCCTACTTGCAAGAAGGGAATATTGTCGTTTATAAACAGAGTAGGTTGCCTGGTTAGTTTGCTGTGGAATAAAGTGGCATAGTATGATTTGAGTCGGTTGCGGTCCATGATGGTGAGGGCGAGGTGGAAGTAATGCTGTACTCTTTGTAGCGAGATGCTCGGGTTCGCTACTTTCATATAAGCAGAGAAGACCAGAGCGGCATCCAATATGTCTATGAGTTCCTGGTAGTTAATACCCGAAACTGGTACTGGATTTTTGAGTTTCTCTGCCAAGTCGTTCTCCAAGAGTGGTAAAACGCTGAAGACGGGGCAGGGCCTGATGAAGAAGTTTAGAGGCAGAGATAGTTCCAACTGAGGGTTCACCGCAGCCACATGCCTTGTGTTTGTGGCCTCTCCATTATTGCTCACAAGGGAAATACACTTGCCAATCGTCTCCGGCAACCGTCCATGTAAGTCTCCGTCGCTTACTAGCACGTTTGATTGGGCGAGAGCTTCACCCAAAGAAGTTATCGAAGTAGTCAGGCTCTCCACTGTCGCTTCTAGCTGGTTGTTACGTGCAAGAAGTCCGGAAATTTCCATGTCCCTTTTCTCTCGAAACTTCCGCTGGGCTATACGTAGCTGTTCCCGGCGTTTTCCCAAGAGCTACTATGCTATTAGCTGGTGAATTACTTCACCTGAAGACGGAGGAATAACGCACCTTTTCCTGTTCTCCTTTGTTCTGGTTCTCTTTGGTTCGCCTTGGTCTCCCACGTTTTTTGCGGAGCAAGGGCCCCTGTACGTTCGGGTCCGGTTGCTGTTGCTCAGTAGATTTCGTGTCCGAATCGGCGCCTGCACAACCATGTGTGGCGAGGCCATCAAGAGGGTTGTGGACTCCGTTGGTTCCGTAGCAGTCCGGCGCTTCACTACCAGCCACACCCTGCATGGCGGCGGAAATAGGGTAATAGTTGGCAAAGAAGGCTGCCTCGCTGGTCCACGCCATCGTTTCGCGAGAATAAGGTAATGTGTAGTTTTGCAGCAGCATGAAGTTGTCGTTGGGCCAGAGGGTACTAGGGTCCACCCCTGGACGGTTGTGCGGCCACGAATCCATCGATAGGTATTGGCCTGATAAGTGATTGTATAATCAACTTCGCGATCTATTCCAATGGAAAGCTGTTGCAAGAGGCAAGAAATATCCTTTGCACAAGAGCCCTTGGTGCCAGGTGGGGGAAAACGACATATATAGGTTTATTAAGCAGAATCGGCTTTAATTAATCCGTACTCTATTCATCAGACCATACCCTTTTACGGTTTATATAATCGAGTTATTTACATGAGCCCCTCGCCTAGCTTGTTCAGGCAGGTAGGTCCGTCTTAACAGACCAATGACATGATAGTCTGCTCCGCAGCCAGGCTCCCGGACATCCGTCGCCGCCGACGTGGGGTCGGACTGGCGTCTGGTTGTTCTACTACCGCATTCTAGGCAAGGAGGTATGCATCAACATAAATAAGGCTAAACTGGGGTATTTTCTTGGCCTAGGCCTCCCTCTTGGTGTTATTATTACGATTATTCATCACCAGCGCGAGCGCTCACAGGCTAGAACCAGGTGAATAAGTGGTAGCCCGCAACTTTATTGTATTTGCTTTGTTCTTCCATATCTCGCGTAATACAATTTGATGCCTCCTACATTTCCTCTTTCACAGTTGACTTGGTTAAACTTTTATACAACACGACATCTCGTCTCTCACTGCGTGACCTGTACGTGCCATGTTTACATAAGTGTCTGCATGCTAGAGTAATAAATTAGCTGCTAGCATCACCATCTCTGAACCTAGTCAAGAATGTGTAGCCAAGAATAGAGCAAGATGATCTCGCAGATTTTCCAGCTGACTCTGGTGCGTGAGTCTAAACCGCCAAGGCGGCATTAAATGGCACTCAATCGATTTAGCGACTGTACTGCAATGTGCTATAGACTACATATAATTCTAAATTGCAAAGGCAGATGCGCAAAATTGAATATTTTGCGCATACTATATACCCCCGATTCGTAATGAAACATTGTATTCATCCAACATCGGTCACCTTTGCGTACATGACCAAACATATCCCTTCCCCCTGGCATGTCCCTCAAACTGGGTAGGTGTAAAGTCGCTGCAACTAGCATCCGGCCAGGGTTGCAGGCTGGGCATTGAGGGGAATAGAGAGACATTAGCCTCTAGAGTATTATATAATACAGACCAAGTGATGCCGCGGCCCCGTGATTTTGTCCGAGTGCAACAAGTGTTGTTCAACCTCTCAGCTTTCAGTTCATTACAACCTATCAATCTAAACGAATAAGAGAGTTTTTCTCTTGCTCGAAGCACGCGTGCCACTCGCATGTAGTAAAATACGACGACGAGGTGTGACTAGCAAGGAGAGGTGCGTGTGTTATTGAGCGACGTGGCTTGATTTTTATCTATTTAAGTAGCCTATCCTCACCTAGTCGTGGTATTGTAAACAGCACGTCTTCTCTGATATTGTTCTCCGTTATATCGTCAATCCTCAGCCCTTTCCGTTCGTACTTGTCTTCAAAGATGCAATTTATGTTCCCTCTGTTGACCTTGGCCGCCTTGGCCCTTCCACTGGCCTCAGCCCATCCCATGAGCGAGAACAAACCACGGGCACTCCCCCCAAGTATTGATCCCTTCTACAGGCCGCCGTCTGGCTTCGAGTCAAAGGCACCTGGCTCCATTCTTCGTCAGCGGAGGATTGCGGCAGCCTTCTTTGGGTTTATCCCCCAGCCTATTGAGGCGTACCAACTACTCTACCGTACCAATGCTATTGACGGCTCGCCAATTGCAACCGTTACCACCATCTTCAAGCCTTTACATGCGAAGAAGGACAGCTTTGTCTCGCTGCAAACCGCCTACGATAGCACAGCCTCTATCTGTAACCCAAGCTACAACTATCAGCTCGGCGCATTACAGACAGACATCATCTCCTCCTTGGAGCAGATTATTATGCAGGCCTACTTACTCTCAGGGTACATTGTTGCTGCAGCCGACTACGAAGGCCCAGACGCAGCCTTTCTTCCCGGCCACCTCGAGGGCATGGGCGTCCTGGATGGTATGCGTGCCGTTGTCAACTTTAGGGCAAAACTTGGGCTTTCTGACAACCCCAAGATCGTCGGCACAGGCTACTCTGGCGGCGCTGTAGCTACAGGCTGGGCAGCCGGTCTTCAATCCTCCTATGCCCCGGACCTGAATGTCAAGGGGTGGGTTGCTGGAGGTACTCCTGCAAATCTTACCGCTACTTTTATGAACCTTGACGGTACAATATTTAGCGGCTTCCTGCCTGCCGGCCTGGCCGGGTTTCTGAAGCCCAGTGCCTACGGAGCTCAACTACAACCTGTTTTCGACGAAATTTTAACACCCAAGGGCAAGAGAATAATAGATATTTCCAATAAGCAGTGCATTGTTGGTAACCTCCTTGCATTTCCTCAGACATCAATCTTGTCAGCAGAGTTTCAAACCCTAGGCCCCGGACTATTCGAACACCCAGTCGTCTCTGATATCATGGGAAAACAAGTCATGGGTGTGTACAAGAACGAGACGCCTGTTGCACCAGTATTCCTTTATCACGCCCCCGACGATGAGATTGTGCCCTATCATGACGCGGGGATACTCGTGGATAGATGGTGTGGCTACGGTGCTAGTGTAGACTTTCTGACTGTCGCTGCCGGCGGACACTTTACCACCGAGATTCTTGGTGTTCCCGACGCCGTGAGATTCACTGCCAACGCTTTCGACGGGAAACTTGCGGCTGGCTGCTCGACCAGAACCTCGTACAATGACACGCTGAACCCCATCGCTCTCGGGGTTCAATTGGAGCCCGTCTTGGCGTCTTTGCTCCAAATGCTAGCAAACCTTGGCAAGAAAGACGCAAGTATCAAGCAAGATCTTACTAAACTTGGTCGTCGTAGTTGAGCGTTGGGTGCGCATGGAAAGCAATTTTCTGATCATCATGTGGAGGACAACTGAGGATCCAGAATTAGATTAAAAAATATAACAACAAGATACATTAGTATTTGTTCAAAGTATATATTTTAAATGGGGGGCTGTAGATGTTATCTCCTAGTAGGTGGCAGAGGGTAGCTGATATAATTGCCTCGGGGATATTATTCGATGTTCTTTCCCTTACATGACGGTAAACACTACGCTATACCTACATTATTTGCTGAAAAACTCCAGTCAATGCACTGCAAATAATAGCAGGGTCTACTTCAAGTTCTGCGGTCTTCTTGGCGCCCGGTTGCATTTATAGTCTGGCGTTGTTGGGGTCTCGTTGTCTTGGCACTCCATGGCTTTCGAATGTCTAAAGGTCGCTTGCTTATTTGTTGTTAGTGAAGGTATCGCTGGGCGCTTCATAAGACACAAGCATTAATCTTTTATTACTGATGACAAGCGGCTAGTCTGGGCGGCCAATTATGCTCGAGTACGAGCCATGACGATGGGAAAGCAAATCAGCTGTTATGCAATTGTTTTATGTGAGAACTGCCGTCTACCCTGGCTGAGAAGCCCCGAGCACTAGACTTCAGATGGCATAACTGGTCGCGCACATCCAGTCCCAAGCTACAACGTACTCGTGCCCCCTCCCGGCTGGATCACTCTAGCTCATATGCCAATGCCTCTTCTTTTGGTATAGATATCCTGGGACAAACCATATTATTACCCCAAGCTGCCAGCGCATGAATAATCCAGCTACGCGCAAATTCCACGAGACGGCTCCGGGTCATAAGTACATGTCCCCCGATTCACACAGTCATCCTGCTCTATAGCACATCGTAGCCACACCGCTTTAAACTTCCAGCCCTCAGTCCATAACGTATGACATTTACCTCTGCTTGTGTAGCCGTAGCCGAACCACTTTCCCGTGCAGCCTGGCTTCTCCCAGTAACTGATCTGTACCTGGCCGCTCGGGCAGTCGCCCACCATAGATGTATCGAGAGATGCTACCTGGCAGTTTGTGTCAAAGCAAAAACCATCAGTTCCGCCGGCGACAATAGTCTGGCCGTGCAGCTCTCCTTTGCAACCGGCACTGTACAACGCCTGTACTTCGAAAGCTGGGGTAATACCGACGCAGTAGTAGTAGCCTTGCCAAAGACCGACACACTCTAGTTGACCAGGAAGTTAGCATGTACTTAAGAATGGATATCGTAGCGTCCCTGATAGTGCAGACGGTTTGTACTATTGGCAGCGCCGCTGGCGACGTGTCATATGTTGACTATATGCGGGAGTAGGAGGATTGACCACCCGTTTGTAATTGCAGGATTCCATTCATAACTGATTTTGACATCAGGCGTCGTTCCCTGGGACTTACCCCTCCCCACAATTTGACTTAAATCCACATATGTATCCCTTTACATTTTCGAAGGTACGTTGGTTACACCGAATTCGAGATCTGGTTCATCAGAAGTCTAGAATTGAAAGATATGTTACTGCACGAAGAAATTTTACAATAATAAAACACCTAGTAATTTCTCGAGTTGCAATTAGCTACGTCACACTTACCTCAGTCGTAGGTGACGCAACGAGCCCTGTTCAGCTATTTCCAGCCTCGATTCAGGCACGGATCCTGCATCATTTTAACATTCCCCTACCCACGTGGAGCTTCCTTTTATGAGGTCATAAGTGGATGATAATGCAGCCGGTTAAGGGTACCTGGCAATAGAAACTCGTAAAGGGCGATTGCAAACGTGCCCAGAAGAAGTTGCAATTTGCGAAATTTCGTAAACTATGCTAACAACGTGAAGATTCTTGGCACATTCCAGTGGCAAGTGCCTCTGCATTGTGGAAGTTATATTATGGAGCTTGGACTGTTTGACACAAGTACGGTAACCCTAAACTGCTAACTCAGGGCTACGCTATCTATCAGGAATCCACTATCTAGTTACGATGCAGTTACCTAGTAACTGTTACGTAAAGAAAGGGAGTTGCGGGAGATCTTTAGAAAGATGAGGCCTCATAGATCAACAGCAGTACTTCTACAAGCTAAATACAGACGAAATAGCAACTATTAATATCCACGCCTGCATCTCTGTAGTTACTATGCCACCATAACTTAGTCTTGGCAGTATCAGCCTCGTCGTTGTGCCTCCGTGAAATAATTCCTCATGGCTAGTGCTAACCAAACCATACAAAATAGATTCGATACTAAAATCGAGTTTCACCGCAAGACTACTACCCACCGTTGTTGATACAGGACGCGCGTGCTCGGGAGCCTTGAACGAGTCATTTCCCCTAAAACAGCGTCCAGGTTGCCAAGGCTGCAGCAGCAAACGATATTAGCTTGTCTTGCCTCCATCGAGCTGCTAATGACTCTGTAGCTCCTGTTTCTTTTGCTGCAGACGCTGCGGAGGTTTTGGGCGCGGATGACGGGGGTGTTGGTGCCGCAATGGAAATCCCTTCTGAGGAAGCAGTGGCGACCTCCGGAATAAAGCATTCCGCGAATGAAATGGTTTCCTCCAGTTTGTAAGATGCGAATGGTATGAATTTCATTTCATGATACCAACGGAAGTGACAGCTGGAAGCGAGTTGTTCAGCAACGAGGCTGTGCGCAGTCCACCATGATAAGGCCAAAGTCCCAAAGTTAGAGTACGCCGACATTACCTCGGATGGCCCAACTGTGGAAAAGGCACACAATCGCGAGCTTTCGGGGAATGTGCAATCGAACCAATCCTCCAGAGGCAAAGTACAAGTTTGGAATAGTTCGGAGGTGTGAGAGGCCATGGCAACTGCCAGAGTGCCTGTTGGTCTCGGACCAACAACATAATTTGTGTAGTTCGCGGCAGCACAGAACAAGGGCTCAGGTTTAGCGATCGCGGTCGGTGAGGATTTCGGAAAGAAGACTGAATGGTTGATCGCTGCCGCAAGAGCGGCGGCGTTGAGAAGATAGAGACCGATGTTCATGGTGTCGACGTTGCATGTAGCTAAGGGCTAAACAAAGACGGACAGTAGTAAGGAGGAGAGGTGGCACAAGAGTCTGGCTTGGAGTTGACAGTAGATACAGGCAGGGTTTGGTATATGTACTTAACCTATACATGCCCCTGAAGAAGGGCATAGAGACATGAGGCCCACGAAACTCCATTGGCCAAGGCCAGGAGTATCTTGGCGTTGTGACATAACGTATGAGGAGCACATGACTCTGCGTTGCTGTGTTGATGTATTCTCCCATCTTCTGAAATGATTGAGTACAAGAATTCGAAGACTACATCGATTTGATACTTAATTACATTGACTTGTGAAAAAATGCCGTGGCAAACCAATGCGGCGGGGTTCCAACTCTCACCATTCATCGGTCGAGTAATTATGCTCCACCAAAGCGCTTCGAATAGCTTTCAGACAATCATCTTTCCGATAATTCCGCATATTCGGCCACCCATGCTGGCGAAAGATGCCTTTTATTAGCCGATTCTTCCCTGCATCATCTGGGTGCTCCGCCGCCTTTACATCGAGTACCCTTGTTGAACTCTGCGGAAGAAAGGTAAGCTTCTGGTACTGCTCTTTCAAGACTTGGAAGAAGTCTGGAATAGCCCATGTTCCAGCATCGTGAAATGTTTCGGCCTCACGTACAGGGGCGTAATCGTAGGCATCTTCTCTAATAGGTGCTCGGCTGGAATGATGCATCAGATAATGGTCGCACTCAACCCAGTGTATAATGCCGAGTCTCGTGTCTAGCAAGAACGAGTACCGTTCTTCACAGTCCCAAGTAAGACCAATAACGTGAGAAGGCACGTTCTCATAATTTGAAACCCCTTCAGAAGACATCCGTGCGTGTTCAGAAGCATAACTACCGGGTTGAAAGCCGTTTTCGTTCTCTTCTACTCGTCCTTTCCAGTCGGCAAACATGCAGTGGGGTAGCACGTTAGGCCCATCATCATTAGACGGACAATCGATGTAAGGGAGATAGCGAAGGAGTGATATGACTTTCTTTGTTTTACCCAGGCCACGCATGCTCTGGGGAGTAATAGATGGCCAGCCCCCTTTAGGGGGTTCCTTGATGAGGTTTTTATCAAGAAACATTTGGGTTAAAAATGTATAATAGTCTCGCACAGCCGCGACCGTGGTGTCACGGGAGTAAGTGACTTCCCTAAGAGGTATCATTGTTCAGTGCAGAAAATAATAGTGTAGAAGCTTAAGACTTATAAAGAAATGACAACTCAGAAAACACGAGACTTGAGGATAGAGAGATACAAAAAGATGTCAAGGGAAGATAAGGGGGTATACTTGCCATTTAATGGAAGCGCGTTCTTTCTGTGATGAAAGAGCACGGGAATTCTCGCTAAAGAGTCAACTCCAATAATAATTTCCCTTCAATGTCTAGGGGCGTCCTAGGATCAAGATGCCTGCGGCGGGGACGGTGAAGTATCCGCTTGGGACTCCTGACTTGGTTGCCAAGCTTCACGGTTTGAAAATCTTTGCTTGGCGTGTCAAGAGGTGACAAGGCTGTCGATGTGCACATGTATATGGGTATAGAGAAGGCATAACTATCTGCATATCTGCCTCAGTATCAATTGATTGTGCTTGTGTATACATTGGGCTAGGTTGTTCAACCAGCAACCTTCGGTGGTGAAAGCTTCGCTTGAATAGCCAAATTATGAGCGGGCACGATTAACAAATACCAGTTCTCATACCAGTTGACCGTTCGAGTTATTAGTATCCACCAAGATACCAGGCCCATCAAAGGGGCCTGCGATGACATATGTATGGCGTCATTTAATTTAGGCAACACTGCAGAATATGGGTCTCAAACAAAAACTGTGCAGTAAACCAGCGTTATAACGATAACTTTCGTGAGGCCAAAATTACCGGTATTTGGTGACTATCGTAAAGGTTCAACGATTATAGGGCTTGTACCTTTACTTAGGAGGATTAGTTTTTTTTTTTGACCGTGTCACACGCAGGAAAATGGCGTTGAAGGCTATCAATTGATGTGTAAAATTACGGGTTCGGTAGGGCCCAATGCCGCCCAAATAACGATAAAAGCCCCGTGCCTGAATTTATATGGTGACTAAGCCTGATGCCTACAATATCGTGCGAACCGCGACTATCAACGATGTACTGGGGAAAAACCTTAGATGACCGTGAGTTGTCGTAATAGCGCGACTATCGTTAAGATATAGGATCCTTGTAGCGCTAGTTTACTGTACAATATAAACAACTCCTGGGTCCGAACGCCCAGCCCCCTGCAGATTCAGAAGTTCACGATATGCAGAGGTGGAAAGACAAGAAACAATTTGTAAAAGTACTACTTGGCAGGGAAATGGCGTTCTAATATCGTGATAGACGCCTCGACGTTAGCTTTTATTCTTCCCTTCTCTCATTGTTTTGTTTATATCCTATTATTATCCTGCAACTAGTCAAGATGCGAGTTCCTCGGGATATAGCTATTGCCTTTACCTTGGTGTTTATTATCAATGCTGTGCACACAGCTCTCAGCCTTGATGGAATGTTAGTTATGGAGTTAATTGGTGACGACGACCTTTCACTTATTGGTGATATTGACGCATACGACTTAGACTACTACGATTGTCTACCTCTATGCGAAGACTACTCCAACCCGCACATGTGGATTACTTACCTCTCGGTTAAACGTTTGCAACGTTGCCAAAGTCCTATGCTACTTCAGTTGCCTGTCAGACAGCTGCTGGATGATCCCAAATCAACTATCTTGATACGCAGTTGCTCAGCTACCTCTGGATAGCAATGGGAACAGACGACATTCTCTGCTATGAATACCGCTGTGCCTAACCCTAAGAAGGACCATAATCTCTTTTGCTGCAGCCTAGACACTGCCCCCGTTTGTTTCGCCAAAGGCAAACCCTGCAAGGGAATCCTAAGCATGGCTTCAACTATGGATATCGAAGAAACCGGAAATGGGCGTCAGGCTGCTGAGCTCTTGCGTCCCATGGGAAATTCCTTCCAAGAGAAGGACAACTGCGATGAAAGTTTTATTGTTGGATATCACCACAAGTTTGCTGCTGGTATCTACATTGGTTCCGGCTTAGGCAAACAAACAGCCGAGCTCTCTCTGAATGCAATGGCCGATCGCTTACAGTTGAACTCAAAACGCTCCAATCATACTACTGCCGAGCATTTCGGCAGTGAGCTGCAGGCGGAAGAGTCTTTTGGTATATCTATTGATACAACTGGAGATCTGGCTGCGGTACAAAGAGCTGTGTTGGAGTGGAGCGAGGGCATTTGTGCTACATCCAAGAAGATTCTACGGCCAACGTGATCGATACCCAGAATTCACATTTGGCAGATTGCCAAAAGAAACTTGACGGGAAACAATAAAAAATTGCCCATAAGCTCTGGACTTCTGGGCAGGTCCGCTGGAATGGAACAAGCCAGAACACCAAGGCCCCGGAATAGTTGTCGGTATATCAGAGTGAACTCTGGAGATGGCTGCGCAGCTCTCGTTTCCCGGTGCGGCATTTCTAGTACTGACCTTCACAGGTACAATGCTGAGCCAAACTTGTGCTCTAGTCTCATGCCAGGGGACTACATATGTATGTTTGATGCTCACCCGGACAACCGTACAAGGAGCCCACACCCGAGCCGCCTACGCCGAGCAGAGATGGTACCTGCGCAATTCATCTCATCAGCGATAATGATACATGCGATAAGATTGCCAAATTATACGGAGTGACTATAAGGGAGTTGGAAGGCTGGAATAAGGGTAAGACATGGCCATGGACCGAGTGTAAGGACATGCTAGCGGGCTATAGTATGTGTGTAAGCGGTGGCTCGGCACCAATGCCGCCATCACAGCAAGGCACCCAATGTGGACCATTAGTCCCAGGCACCAAGCCCCCAAGAGACAAGTCCATATCTACTGCCGACTTGAATCCATGTCCGCTCAAGGCCTGTTGCAGCAACTGGGGCTTCTGTGGTGTTTTCCCGGCCCATTGTGACGTACATTGGCCTGGTGGTGGCGGCCCGGGAAGTAGGAAAAAGGGCCACTAAAACACTTGTGTGTCCAACTGCAGTAGGAAAATCAAGCTCAACTCTGGTCTACCTACTGTCTTTCAGAGGATTGGTTACTATGAAGCCTTTGCGTCTAAGCGAGACTGCCTTCATTTAAGGGCAAAGCATGCCAATGCTGATGGCTCATATACGCATATTTACTGGGTATTTGCTGATATCGATCCAGTCAGTTGGAAACGAGTCATCAACGATGGTAGGAACGAGTGGGAGGACTTCAAAAAGCTGCCAAATGTAAAGTGCATTTTACCATTAGGCGGTTGGGCATACTCGACAGAGCCGGCCACGTATAGTATTATCCGAGATGCCATCATCAATAACAGACAAATTTTTGCCAGTAGCTTGGCACAATTTGTCAAGGATGAGGGCATCGACGGTGTCGATATTGATTGGGAATACCCTGGTGTGAGTACTCTTATCTTCTTCGCCTCCTGCTTATGGCGGCCTGGCTTCCAAAGTTGAAACATGGCCAGTTATAAGAGCGAAATCTATTCAACTGAACCACTATTCTGTACTAACTTATGTCAGGCGCCGGATATCTACGTTGGGGGCCAGACCATTGGCCAAAAATCCGACGGAGTCAACTGCCTGAAATTTCTTACCGTATTAAAAGCCAGAATAGGAAGCGAAAAGTCGGTATCAATTGCAGCTCCTGCCTTATACTGGTATTTGAAGTCATTTCCTATTGACCGGATCGCTTCTATTGTTGACTATATCGTGTACATGATATACGACTTGCATGGCTAATGAGATGCTGGCAACCCCAACGCCTTTGACGAATGCCTATCTGGTAGATGCATTCGAAGTCATGGTAAATGCTCGGACGTAAAAAGAAGCTAGTAAGATGTGGTTTGCTAACAGGTAACGAATGCAGTAAATTTGACTGAAACCAACAACATGCTCGTGATGAGTAAGTCAGCAGCGTCTCCCATCACGCGATTCTTTTTTTTTCTAACCGATTGTTGTTTACTTCGGTTTAGTCACTAAAGCCGGGGTCCCCAATAACAAAATTTTTGTTGGTGAAGCTAGTTACGGCAGGTCATTCCGCATGGCCAAGGAGGGTTGCTGGGGCCCGACGTGTGGCTTTACAGGTTCCCGTACACAGTCAACCGCGAACCCTGGTCGCTGTACCAACACCAGAGGATACCTGGCCTAAGCTGAGATCAAAGAGATAATAAGCGCGGGAGGCAATGTTAGGACGTTCCACGATGGCGACTCCAACACGGATGTTTTGCTCTACAATGGAGACTACGTCGGCTATATGACTATGACAACAAAAGACACACGACGAACAGACTGGCGGAAGCTCAATTTCGCTGGGACGATTGACTGGGCTGTCGACTTGCAAGAATTCTCCGAGGACGACTTGACCAACACTGATCGGCCTAAATCCGGCCAAGGCTGTATATCGGGTCACGACATGACGCTTGAAACTGCTGAAATGTGCGAGTTTGCGTGTGCATATGGTTTTTGTCCCTCATCCTTGTGCATTTGCGATGAAAAGGGAAAGCTCAAGGGTCTGCCAGCCGAGAGGAAAGACGTGAAGGGGTCGGCTTGGGACTGGTTGCACTTGGATATGAACAGGCTTTGCGCGTTTTCATGCAGATATGACAACTGTCCACACGAGGTTTGTTCAGACGGCCTCACCCAGCAGGACGAGGACGAGGACGAGGACGAGGGCTTGTATGAAATCACACCTGGATCTAACAGCTTGTATGAAACGCGAGCCACGGCTCACAAAGATTGTCATGTGTTTGAAATGGGCAGACTCAGGCAGACTTCGATCAATCAATGCAAGGGCCAATGTGGTGAGAAATTAAGAGAGGCCGAGGCCGAGGGCAGGGTCAGCAACTACGGCTGCATGGGGCTTTTCCCACTTGACAAGCCTATCCCTTGGATAGAAATCAGCGGTTTCCCTAGCCGCATAGCTCCAGGCAAATGCGTCTGCGATGACATGCTAATAAATACCATCGCCGAGTCTGTCATTGAGGCCATGCCCATGATCGCTGCAGTACGTCATCCGGTCCCGAAAGTCGGCCGCATCTCCAACACGAGCCGAAGCGCCATGAGAGGTCAGGCTTTGTTCTATTGGCTAACCAGAAAGCTTATAGGCCGCGTGTTTTATGCTAATGTCGACGGTGAAGCTGGTAGTTGATGTCGGAGCAAAGTTCATCCCTGGAGTGGGCAGGGTAATTGATGCTGGCTTAAGTAGGACTTCCCATCCCTTTGAAACCCTTGCAGATGCAATGGGAGCTTGATGTTGATGAACTGACATGAATAGATGTGGCCATGACTGCTGCTCAGATGGCCTCTTATATCTATCCAGACGGAGAGGATCCCGCGGGGGCCTTTAACTGGTGGCTTAGCCCATGCGGTGGCGAGAGCAATCTTGTGCCAGATGACATTAAGAAAGCATTTGAGATTCTAAACGCTGTTACTGACGGCGTATCTGGTTTTAAGCCACCCAAGAAGATAAAAAAAGGCAGTGGAAAGAAGGGTGACGACGGTAATCCCACCAACCAACAGAAACCTCGCACGCTCAACAATGGCGGCGGCGGCGGCGGCGGCAACGGGGGTGGCAGCAAAAGCAATAACAAGAATAACAAGACGAAGCCTTGCAAGATTAGGAAAGGGTATTCCACCAGACGACTCGGCCGTTACAAGAATACCGTCCAGTTTCAATCCTGCGTTCAAGACAAGACCATGACGGAAAACTTGGTCATCACCTCGGCACACTATCATGTCAATGCCAAGCCCACCGATGTAGTCAAAGTATGCCCCAAGAAATATACCCAGGCATGCTACCACTACAGTTCTGCTACGAGAGTCAGCCCTCAATGGGCAACCATTACCTGCCCTCCGGAAGCTGCCAAACCCAACTGGCGACAGGACGGCGAGGCGACTGCGACTTGGGCAGCACAGCATGGTGGTACCGGGTGGAAAGATATAGCACACCGGGAGGAGCCCGGATATGACAGGGACGAGTATCCACCAGCATATTTCCTGAATAAGCAAGATGACGGGTGGAAATGGGGTGGCAAGCCGCAGGGCAATGGGCAGCTCGTCCGCTTCCTTCCCGCCAAACAAAACCAGGGGGCCGGGAAACTTTGGCAGGGAGCTTGCTTTGAGGGACCTGTAGGGGACATTTCAGACATGGACTTGATAAATCGAGTTAGGAATGCGCCAGCTAAACTGCAGAGCGTTGCCAAGGACGCTTCTAGAACCGTCACCAAAGCCGAGGTCACGGTTACCCAAAGACCACAGTGGCATATGGAGTTTGAACACACGGTAAACCCACTGCCGAATGATGGCTTGAACGATAACCCATGTTGGCCATCCAAGATTGCGCCGCAGGATCCGGGCTTTGCTTTACTCACGTTTGACCCTTATTACACCTCACTATACGGAAAGGATCAAACTAAAACAAAACACCCGTATACGTACGATGCGCCATATAACCCCCCAGCTAATGGTGAGTGAGAAGTACAGTATCTTACGGGTCAAGTGTTTGTATAAGCCGCAAGTAGTCGTGCTGGTATGAGAAGTTTACGCCGCCAGGTCCGAATCATCTGAACTTGGCCCTTTTAGCTTCTTAAATTAGGTTTTCAAATAAGTACTAGGGTGAGTCCCACGAGTACCCATAAAACGGCGCGTAGTTTATCCATCTCACACTCGTGAAACTCCCCAGCTCCACTCGAAGATTACGTGATGGTCAGAATGGTGTCTAGTCACCATATGGCAACATACGCTCCAGAACTTGCGACTCTCCAACCTCTTGTATACAATTCTCAACTTGATCCCATTCTCTTTACAACCACCCCTACGAACTGTTTGTTTGACAGTCCGCAGTGCGAGAGCAATCGATACCGTCTCGGCTGACACAAATACCCAAAGACCCTCCTCACTGGCACCAATTTGCCCAAATCTCGCGACCCAATGGCGGCATTCCTTACCGCATTTGATATCCCCAACCCTGCAAACTCTGTCCACTCCGATCAAGCTGCTTCATTGGTCGATCCCAATTCTGGGCTGCCTAATTCTCGCAGTTGCGTCACCTGCCGCCGTCGAAGAGTCCGATGTGACAGGCACCAGCCTTGCTCCAACTGCGACCGCGCTCAGATTCAATGCGTCTTTCCGCCTCCGCAGCGTGCTTCTCGTCGGACGAGACAAGTAAACCACGACACGCCCGTATTGAACCCTAGAGCTTCAGAGATTGAACTCATGAAGCGTCGTCTGCAGAAACTCGAGAACATTGTTACCCAGCTCAGTGGACATGTCGAAGTCAACAGGGAAACTTGCGACCCACGACCCTCCAGCGGGTACGTGTCTTCGAAAGTTACAGACCCTGATGCGACCAATAGTACGGGCGTTGCCAGCCGGCAAGAATCGAATATCATTGAAGGCGAGGCAGCTTGTGACGAAGATGTAGCTCCAGAACTTGGCCGAACGGACCCGGGGCTGATAGAGATACAAAATGCGGCGCTGCCGGCTGATTTAGCCGACCAGTTTGGACGTTTGGTTGTGCACGACAATGGAAGCACTGGACAATACATTAGCAGCGCTTTCTGGTCCAAATTGAATGACGAGGTAAATAGAAAGGAACCCATCCTTGCAAATATAGCCATGTGTTTGACCAATATATTCCAGCTTAAGCATCTTCATACCGATATGTATTTCCTAAATAGTGTTCCTGATAACTGTCGGGATAACACTTCCTCGAGCGAATCTCCGAGACAGGCCTCGTGTGTGGTCTCAGATCGCCATAGCATTCCCTTTGCATTTGGTTCCATGGACGTGGATCTACAAGCACTACGCCCTAGAGAAGCAGAGATATCCATTTTATGGAAGACTTATCGAGAAAACATTGACCCTATTCTCAAAATCTTGCATATACCCTCCATGGAAAAGGTAGTACGCAGAGCAAGGAGGAGTCCTAGCAGTCTGGAACCGGGGAGCGAAGCTCTTCTATTCGCAATCTACCACGCTGCCATAGCGTCACTAGAGGATGAAGAGGTGAGCAACTCAAAAGCAATACGTCAAAAAATGCCATCAGACGCTTAATATTTGCATTGTGACTAGGTGCAATCGAATTTCAAGTCATCCAAGCCACACCTTTTAGGCAAGTACAGGTTCGCTTTAGAGCAAGCACTTGTCAGAGCCGATTTTCTCAATATTCTGGACATAACGCTTGTGCAGGCGTTTACCATATTTCTCACCCTCGTGCGGCGGCAAGATAATACGAGATTTTGCTGGACTGCAGTAAGTCTTGTGATAAGGATGGCTCAGGGACTAGGAATTCACCGTGATGGGACCAAATTTGCACTTGCTCCGTTTGAAGTTGAGATGAGACGTCGACTATGGTGGGCAATTTGCACTCTAGACTTGAGATCTGCAGAGGAGGCAGGAACAGCTCTCATCATAGGCAATTCTTCATTTGACACCATGTTGCCATTGAACATCGACGACACTGACATTAGCCCGGAAAAGAAGGAATCGCCGACGCCAAGAGACGGTCGATCAGATTGCTCCATTTGTCTCGTTAGGTATGAGGTATGCGCCGTTTCTAGACGCTTGTACTTTGCAAGCACCGAGCCACGGCCAGCTGACGCAGATACCGTCGGACTGAAGTTGGAGGAGCGCGAGAAGATGCTGATTGAAGTCAAAAATCGAGTGGAGCAAAAATTTCTGCGATACCAAGCTTTCACAGAGGACTCATTGGGTTGGATGGTGGCCATCATCGCACGCTTAATCATGGCCAAGGTATGCTTGGCCATATATCATCCCGCCCTCTTCCCTGGTATCAGTCCTGAACAGTCAAAAGATATGCGAGATCGATTGTACATCTCAGCGATTCAAATCATGGAGTATTACCATATTCTGTCAACGGATGGGCGCTGCCGGCAATGGCGATGGATCATACAAACTTACCGGCAGTCTCACGCTGTTGCCTATGTGCTCATGGAAACATCTCAAAGGCCGTGGACGGCAATGTCTGAGCGTGCCTGGGAAGCTGTAAACCTATTGCGCCGCGACGGCGAAGCTGTGAATTCCACCGCTGAACCGGATCCAACCATTGCGGGCGATACCGCCGGCATTCGCATGCCTCTAGACCGACTCTTCACGAGGATGGCGAGTCACCGACAAGCTGAAATCCTACGCATCAGGTCCAACCCTGTGTCAGCCCATGAGTCAGATGTTCAGGAGCGCATGAGTGCGTTTTCGAAATGGCTCGATTCTGCCCCTGGCCTTGAGTCCAGGTTACAACAGATAGACAACCGCTGGCGAAGGTTGGTCCAGCAAGAAGGCTCTGAACCTTGTTATCCTTCCTCCACGACCCCCACGCCCTGGACTGAGCTACCCGCTATGGCTACATGGCAGCCGGAAGCTGCCGTTTCGTCAGGCCTATGGGGGGATCAGTTGCAGTTTCAGGATGCTACGCATTCTCTGAGCCTCAATCCGCCCGAACAATGGCTATACGACTTCGGGACCACTAACAATACATCCTTGGACACAAACAGCCATATGGCTCCTTGTGCTTCTACTGCCAGTCATGTTCCACTCGAGCCACTGGCCGGGATCGCCAGCATCCCGGATACAAGAGTGGTCTCCAATCCACTTATCTCGTTATATGCTAAACAGACATCACTAGCTTATGGGGGAAACATGCCGCCTGATGAGTTCCGTCATGACACGCAGCCGTGGTTATGGCCTAGCTTTCCTCCAATACCGACTGAGGAGACTGCCACAGGAGTAATCAACAGAGATGTAGGCACAAGTTTTAATGAGAGTAATTTGGATGGCTGGCAAAGAAATTTGTAGAGAATAGAAGAAACCGTTTTGGACTGAACGTAAGTGTACGGTTAATTCTCAGCCTCGCTCTTAATTGTCTTGGCGGTTATTTTCTCCCTATCTAAGGGTATAGCGATATAGATAATAGGGTCCATGGACAGAGAGGTCTCGACATTCTAGGACTACGTAATATGGCACTCTGCGAAGATTTAGCGGCGAACCTGATTTCCCTCTGCCAATTATAAAAGTATGGGTATTAGTGGCATCACCGGCTGGGCTATAATTGCCTCTAAGCATATGACTAGTTTTTATTTAAAATAAAAGGTAAAATAGTTGGTATTTTATAAAGTGAAATAAAACGGAAAGAAAACAGGAATACAATTCCGTGCATTACCGCCTATTTGACATTTCAAAATACTTTTACGAAGTAAAATAGTAGAGCCCCCGACCATGGAATCTCAGGCCACATGGGTTGATCTGTGTTCTGGCTGTCCAGCTTGGCCCTAGCCGGCCTGTTCACCTCGTACGCGGTCAACACACGGTCACGTCGTCCAGCAGCCGGGGCGCGTCGCCGCCAAAGTCGATCCACGGATTAGTCGCTAGAGCCTCGGAGCCTTGGGCACTCGGGACCTCGTAGCGCATGACGAACTTCTCGGGGCCGTGGGCGTACGCGACGATGAGGCCGTGCTCGGCGTCGAGGAAGGCACCATGGGGGCGCTTGCCGGGATAGCTGAGGCGCCAGGCCGGGCCGCCCGTCTCCACAACCGGCACCGAGAGCTTGACGACCGCGCCGTCGGGGAGCTGATAGAACCACGTCATCGGGCCGCCCGACACCACCGTCATGACCTCGTCGATGCCGACGCCTTTATCGTTCGTGTTGACGTGGAGGCGGCCGAAGCGCGCTTGCACCAAGTGCTTGGCGTCTTGGTCCATGGCCTGCATGTCGTAGACCTTGGGGTACGGAGCGACCTTGTGCTCCGAGGTGTTTAGGTGGCCGCCGTCATGGACCTCGGGCGTGCGGCCGGCAAGCTGAATTTGCGCCAGCAGGTCGCTGCGGTGCAGGCTGAACATGGTGATTAGCTGGCCCTGCTCGTCCTCCGAAAGGGCCCGCGTCTTGGACGCTTCCAGGATCGGGCGAGCCTCGGGGGGAGAGGGCGTCCGGCTGGCGTGGACGCCCACAGTGCGCAGAACCTCGTTGACGGCCTTGATGCCGACAGTGGACGGCCGTCCGTCAATGTAGGAGAGCGTGAGATCTGCCTTTGTCATTGCCACTGCTGAGGTGTAAAGCGGTTGAATGGCCGTCAAGTGAAAAGCGTGGCTACACCTTGGGCTGTCTTTCTAGAAAAGGGCAGTTTGGATTGAATGGTACGACTGATATAATAATACGAAATAATAGCACACGCGGCCCTTGAGCAGTTGGGTGGGTGATCGTGGAGGTTAAAATAATTTCTTCGTTGGACCTGGGGGTGAAATTGCGCAAGTATTAATTAGGCTTCGCACCTCGGCTTTTACATCTCGGCTTTCGTATTTCGGAGTAGCTAATATCTGGTCCTACCTGTCCACTGAAACTTATTTTTATGGTTATATACATTTATTCCTCAATACCCTGATTCTTATTCTACTATCTACTTGGTGTAGTTACCTGCTTATCCTTAACTGGTAGTATTAGATAATGCCTCTATAAATTACAAGTCGCAAAGACTTGGTGTGATACTTGACTCCACTCAATGCGCTCCCTCCTGACATTAATGCACTATCTCTTCATGCAGTCGGGATACGCCGTCGGCAATTAACGGCCAATCGCGAGGCTACCGTGAGAGCTTAAGTGGGGCAGGGCGCGGGTATTGCATTGACCTGCTCCACGTTCGCTCTCGCTGTTCGCTGTTCGCTGTTCGCTGTCGCCCTTCGCTGTTCGCTATTTGCGGTCGCTATTTGCGGTCTAGGACATCAATGATGGAGCTTGCGGGACGTGACATGGGTCCATGTCGGCAGTATGCGTGTGGGAAACGACCCCGGGGGTTGCTCGATTTCGCAACGCCCCGGCGCCCACTTGAATCACTACAATGGTTGTGAACTTGCGATCCGTTATTTAGGTCTAAAATGAAAGTCATGCTGGATTCATTACTGCTTGTATCTTCCTTGTGTTCCTGGGCGGGGAGACTCTGTCTCCTCTGTAAGCTTGCACCGCCAACGCTACTATTACTATGGCCGATTGCATTTTAGAGTCAGATTGACGCCAAACAGTGAATAGGTATTAAGTCGACTCTGTTTTCGACAGCGAGATCTTCTTATAGCAATATAATTCGTGTGGCTTACCTACTGGTATAAAGATAGTTCTCCTCCACCCGACTAGGTTATCTCCACAAGTCGTGGTAGCTGTACCACAAAGGGGAAACGTGTAAAATAGATCTGCAATTTGAAAAGCATGCTATCACGAACTCGTGGTACATATCGTTGTCTGATAATAGATGTCTGGTGCAAAAAATCCGCTACTGTAGGGCTGTTTGCCGTCCAATCCAACTTAAGAGCCCGAATAAGTATCGCCAAAACCCAGCCTATAAACCGCTTCAAATTACTTACATTGATTCAAGTGGTAACAAGCTCACACGGACCTACATGATTCTTCAAGCTAGGATACAGGTGAGCCACTTTGTTCTTTTAAAGCAGGCGGATACATGGTAGTTCATGGAAGAATTCAAACTCTGGAAACTGACAGCCAAAGATTCGGCACGCTCGCTTAAATATTCGGTGAAGAATTCTCACTTATAAGTTTCCCTTCCGCGTGGAGTGGACGATGATTATCAAGTTTCCCCTGAATAGACGCCAGCTCCTGCCGAGTACGATAATTAACGTCGATGGTTTAAGAATAGAATACACTTCTCATATAAACGAAGAGCGGCGAACAGCAGAGCTCGCTTGATTTGACAACGTTTACAAATATTTTCTACTTACTAATTCATCTGGCTCCCTTGCTTCCTGTATTTTAATACTCAAGCACGTCGTTTTGGCTGGGTCCATCCCGAAGCTCCCATGTCCGTGGTGTACATGTACCCGGTACCACTATTCGGTACCAATTGGCAAAACCTGACGGCCAATCGCGCATTGTCCAATTCAATGTTTGATGTTAAACCCAAAAACAAGGGCAAGACGTCTGGTGGAGTCTGGTTGGTCTTTACGATGCCACCTTGTGGATATGGTAGCCCCAGCCAGCTACACCCCACGGTGTGAATTTGCGTCATCCAAGAGTCTGGTCAATTCAACCCACCTTGGTGATACGCACCAGGGCGAAGCGTTGGATGAGGAGCATCTTCTCAGACCCAAAGTCGAACCGAAAGCGTTTAAATAGTTCCAAGTCAACTCGGTTAATCCAATAGCCTGAATATTCCGATATGCGTCATGGTTGCTCTGACGTTGGTATATTTTTTTCTTTAGGGATATAAGACCATAAAAGGGAGAGACCGCCCACACCTCATTAACGAACTTTCCATCACGGCAGTGCCGAATTGTCCGCATCATAGACGCCTTTGTGGAGAGCATCTACTATTTAAAACGCAACTTCTGTTTCTCATATTTTTCACAACACTTCTTCTGCGCCTTGCTGTTTAGGGTGCATCTTTACAAAGATGTCGACATCAACAAAAATCGTCATCACTCCGGAAAACACGGGATTATGGAATATTCAACAGAGTGAGGAAGCAGCCCAAGCAGCGAGTGAGTTGCTTCAGAAGGACCTTGAGGTAAAAAACTTGTGGATATGGCTCGGGGCAATCAGACGTTGCATTAATACGCATTTAGGGGCATCATGTGTTCTTGAATAACAAGGGCTTTCATGACCACGTGAGTTGAAGCAGTATATCTTGAGACAGCCAGTTGGTATACTGACATATTATACGTCAGATGTTGCATCATATTCTCGCTCTCTACGGTACTGGCGCGAGTGTTACTCAGCTGAGAAAGGCTTACGATAGCCGGCATCCACTGCAACGCCCTACCCAGCCTCCTCACGACGATGTGGCAGCCCATCTTAGGGCATCTTGGAGCAACTCGGTCAAGTATCTAGGGCAAGAGCAGTACTACCCCGACTTCCTAGCCTATTTTCAAAGTATTATCAGGACTAAAGGATACGAGTCTGTCGTGAATGAGTACCTCTTCAAGGGGGATGCCGCTGCCGATGATCTACTAGTTCGCTTACATGCTGGTGTATTGCACCCATTGATCCAGTTGATGTACGGACTAGAGTGGAAGCAACCAGCGGTAGTTGCAGAAGCTCTGGCCGAGACTTGCGTTCACCGGCTCGAGGGTTTAGACCAACTTCTACTCCCAAGCGAGCGCCGTGGACGCGCTCCATCACCACGGTCCCAGGAACAGTCGCTTCTATCAATGTACCACGACATCCGGTCAAATCATGACGTATCAGTCGCAGTACAGATTGATGACGGAGCCGACAAGATTCAAGCCGGCGTTCTTAAGCGTGCCAGACAACCCATGCTGAAAATCCTTGAGCGCGTTTCCGTTAACCCCAGCAAGCTGGACGAAAGAACTGCAGAAATGATGCATGCCATCATCTACATTGGTTCCGGGGCTGCCATTCATCCACCCCAGCATGTCAAATATGACTTTTCTTTGATGTAAGCTCTCGGAAAACTCAAAACCACTGCAGCATGCTAACATGGGCTTTCTTAGGCATCACATAAATTCCTCGCTCATATATCTAGTGATCAATAACCAAGATTGGATTAGCTTAGACACTAAAACCAGAATGCTGGAGTGGAAAATCAGAATGGACTTGCTGCAGTACGTGGCACAAGCTAGTCCTGCGTTCTCTGTTGAGTCTATTGTCAACTACACACCAAAATTGCAACATGGGTCGATGGTTTCCATTCGAGGTGAGTACTCGCACATGGCCAAGTCAGAGGGCGGACTAACATGAATTCGCGGTGCTCAGATATCGGAGTTCGACTACAATCTTTTGGCGATGACGGACATGCTATTAAACAAGCCAGGGCCACGGCTGTTTGCCACGAGCTGATGAAGAAATACGAAACCAAGTCCTGGGCCGTGTTGAAAGGTGATGAAATTTGGAAAAAGATCCAGCATATGGTTGTTGATGCTGTTGAAGGCCCAGGCGTGCTCTACGTTCGCTGTGCCGGATTGCAAGAAGTTTGGAAGGTACTACGTTCTCAGGGTGCATATGCCACTAGCGATAAGACATGACTACTAATTTTGTTGGCTGACAGGACGTTCCACTCCAGTCGAGACCAAGGCGACCGTCGGATGTCCTTGAATCCTTACAAACTGGAAGCGGTAGTTCAGAGGAGGCGCTTAGAGGCTATAGTTGAGACGAAAGGAATCCCCAATAACCAAAAGTTCGTGTGTACTATTAAAGGCACTATATTTGTGAGGAAACAGATCCACTTTAGAACCTGGGAAGATGGAGTCCAAAACTGAGGCTCTGTGAATAATTGCTTTAATAAGTTATACTAGACCTTGCTTATACTTTTAGCTCACCGACTTCAAGTATAAATAGGGTTGTTGCTCCAAGCCTCTATCCTTACCACGCTTTATGATATGTTGTCGCTAGCAACGACGTTAACCTGGCTACAAGTGAAGTCTAACACGTATCGAAACCAGATGTCTTGAATTGTCTATCGAGAGCTACAAATACAAGAGAAACAAGAGAGCCAAGGGGCAAGAGGCAATAGAATGAGAAGAACAAAGAGACAAACATACAAACAGGAGAATAAGCAGAGAGCGTATAGAGCTTGCCACAACTAGGCCTGCTTGTCGCTGCGCTTCGGCGCGGGCTCTGGGAACCACCCGTTACTCTTGCATTCCGTCTGAGATCCCTCGCTGCCGTCGATGCAAGTCACAAATGCTCCCTTAATATTCCTGCAAACCCAGCGGGGGCTAACGCAATTGGCCTCCTCTTGTTTCTTCTGCTCTTCCTTGTAGGCTTCGATCTCTTCCGGGGTCTTGTCCCGGCCCGAGCCCACAACCCAGCCGTTTGCCTTACAAACCTCCCTGGAGGAATTGTTGTCGTCCATGCAGTACTCAAACTTGAATTTTCCCGCCTTGTCGTCGAAGCTCTCGCAAGCCAACCTGGGACGGACACAGCTAGCCGCGTCTTTCGTTCCTGCCTCTCGACAGGCTCGGAATAGTTCTTTTCCAGCCGGTGTAGCCTCATCATAGGCGTAGGCTGGGTCGCATTTTTGGCGGTCGTGCCAGCTCTTGCATCTCTTTACGTCCTCACGCCAATACCAATGGCTCTCATCCTTGAATGGCACGCAGAGCTGCGTGGGAGGCAGCTCAACTTCAGCACAACACGCGTCAAAGCCGAAGGGAGATGGCTGCGTTCCCGACCTCCCCCAAATCGGGTTGGTTCGTAGCCATTGACCAGCCTTGGTTTCGGGGCCAATTAGTCCACCTTCTTGAGCATTGGCCGTGATAAAATCATAGATTGCTGTCAGAAGTCCTATTCCAGCTCCCGTCCCTCCACCAAGGCCGCCCGGGGTGGACGAAGCAGGGGCTTTAAGGGCATTGTGTAGGCTGGTGAGTGTCCCCGGTGCATCTCTCGACAGCCCCTCGAGAAAGATTTTGATCTTCTCGGGGTCGCCTTGTGAATCAGCTATGATTTGATTCAGAAGAACCCGACCATTGCTCTCGTCTGGCTTTTTGACGTCCTCCTTCGGCCCACAAATAACCTACCGTTGTCAGGTATATTAGCACTCTGCCAACATGTACAAGCCAATCTTTCCACTTCACAACGGGGTTGAACTCACCACGTAGTCACCCTGATTATGAGGACCTCCGGATCCTCGGAATCTTCGGCTTAGCTTCTCGCAAAACTTTACACCAAGTTGCACAGAAAATTTCTCTGCGTTGGAGCCATCTTTCTTGACACATGTTCCCGTAAACCTTTCGTAGCCGTCTTGTTTTTCGGTGACAGTGCCAGCTTCATATCCACCTTCGGCGCAGTAGGCTTTGAGATCGTCGGCGCCCTCTTTCGCCTGCCGCTTGTCCGCCTTGGCGGGACTGCCCGCGGCCACTCCGGCCAGCAAGGTGACAAGTCTAATCGAAAGCTTCATGGTCGTCAAAGATTGAATAAGTAAATCAGAGAATGGTAAAACGATTGAATGAATGGATGATGGAATGATTTCCTTGATGAGTGTCCGTTCCTCCAGGAGCTGCCGTAGCTTTATATACCATTGCGCGTGTACAAACAACAGACATTTGCAAAGTCGCCTCGTACGTTTTGCATGACAAGACCGAGAAGCCTGACGTCAGCTGTTCATGCACTCCATGCACAGGGTGTCATTTTCCCCCTTATCCTCGCGGCGCCGGTGGCTGGCGCTGGCGACTGGGTTGGCATATACTCCATCACACTGCTCGGGAATCAAGTTACGGCAGTTATCTCTGTTGTTTGCGCAATGCGTAGGTTCGGACCAAGTGCATCAATGCCGGCGGTCTCTTGGCTCAACTGGGCCGTAGGGGCTTCATGCAAATATGCGTTCTGACTCGGTCTGACTTGGCTTCAAGGATGATGAGAGAAGGCAGCTCCAAGACTGCATCGCTTGTGACGGTCTTTAGGAGAATGCACTTAGCTAGTAACAAGTAGACGCTAACTTGCATTCGTTTAGTTTGGCATATAAACGCCATAGCTTGGTACGTAATCTGATGATATAGACAGTTTCGCGTCGCTTAATATACGATCGTGAACACGCCACCCGCGTGGGCCAGAGCTATACGAGCGGGTTTGATATTAATCATGCAGGCCATAAGGGTCCTCTGTGGAGCAAAAGAGGCACGGGCTCCTTACCCCAATGTGGACACTGTTACCAGCTTGTCGGGAATGCTGAAATATGCTCGAATAAGCTATAATATTATGTCTCTATCTATATAGCAGAATGAGAACGGTTTATTCTAGCAATCAAAGTGCGTAACACTTTTACAATTTGCCAAAATAGACTGTTTAGATATCATTCGTCGAATAAACTAAAATTGGGCCCCCAACCTATGCGCCTGTAAATCCCACTAGTGCTCGTTTCGTGCTAGGATGCCAGGGCATAACATTGAATGCAATTTCACTGACGCGGCTGGCCTACCAGATAAGCTTTCGGTAAGGAAACTTTACCTGCCAAGTTAATGCAGAGAAAAAATAGACTAATTTTGGCGCCTGATGGCTTAAAACGCTGATATAATCGGTTCATGCCAAGCTTTACTCGGCTGTTGTGCATGAGCCCACCCCCTTCAAACTATACTTGCCTCGGCTATAAACACCGTACAGTTAAACCCTTGAATTATTCCTCGTGCATTGTCTAACCGAGAAGCTTAGTAAGTAATAACATATTTAGTAAAATTATAAGAAAAAATATATAAATATTAAGTAAAAGGTTTTATTCTCTCACTGTAAAAGCTTGTTTTTATTACTTATTTACCTTTTTACAAGGTCGCGCATAAAAAATCATTAAAGAGTTTAACTGTAAATGCCGGGACTTCCGAAATTCTAGCGCTTATTACACGTGAAACGATACGAAAGACGTCAACGTTGGTATTACCAGGAACCCCCCCACGTTGCAAAAGCCCGAGGAGATGCTCTGCTGTTAATAACATCGCGCGCAGTTGGGGTCGTTTGCTGGGGGACTTGGCAATGTACCTTTTCCTGCGTCGCATGATGCAGACGCCAGATAATGCGTACCAGACGCAATTGTGGGCGACCACAACTATGGCGAGTCATACGAGGCTATGCTATGGTAGCGAACCACTCGTCTGGAACTGTGTTCCGAGAAACTCACATCAGTCTAGATGAGAATAGATTACATGGGATGGATTCACCGATACTAGCAGAAAAGTCCTGCAAATCTCCTTGCTACATGTACTGTCAGATCGTCAATCAATCTGCAAAGACAGGCTAGTAGTTTCGCGCCAGTTAAGTACAACCTCTGCCTGAGACTCAATGCAATGACGATGATCGCGGCTGTGTGGTACATTATCTCCCTAGGCTGCTTCCTGCCACGACCTTCTCCGACAAGCCATGAATGGTAACTCGCCCAAGATGTCCTTTGTGCTGACAGTTGTCACTATTCTCGGCAGCGCCCAATCGCGGATCCATGTAGTACTCTAGAATAGGAAATAGGCGGTCTTCTGTTCTAGTTCCGTGTGCAAGATCGACGGGATGTCGGCCTTGGTTTTCAGCAGGCCAGCCACTGAAAACGAGAATGATAGATCCCGTCGGCCGCCGTTGTGGGGTGAGGCGTATCGCAAACGTATCCAAGAACACGCTTACAGCAGCGGAATTGGCTTGCCCACGGCTCCCGATGATAGCAGAGGATAATAATAGCAAGATGGACAAGTCTAAATCGTTGCGAAGATTTTTGGCGATATTAATTGTTCCTTGTACCTCGGGTCTAATGGCGGCCATGGGTTGGCTGCGTAACTGTTGCACATCATCAAATCCTAAATCACGTCAGAAAAACATTTATAATAACCTGAGGAGATGATAACATTACATACGAGTAGCACCATGGAACATTGGACGCAGGCCTTGATGGGAATACAAAGTTCCTCGCTTCGCGGGAGTGCATCCAAAGCGCCAGCCTTCTAATACCCCCGAAGCCCCCGACGACGAGGTAGGATGCGTGTCCTCTTGCAGTATGATCAACGAGGGTATCTAGATTCATCCACAACCCAAGGTAAGTCGCGCGGTAAATAAATAGTGGCCAGTAGAAGTGTTATCAAGGCTGGTTGCTTTTTGATTGCATCAAGACAACCGTGCTCTTGGCTGCTTATATCGCAAGACTCGGCAGTGTCGTATATATTTCTTTTGTGGCCGTCTTCCATGGCCCGAGATGAACAGTCTTTTCTTGGTTACCGAATTTGAGGTCCGAGAAGTACTGTTCGAGACAAGGCAGCACGTGTTGAGATACGCCTGGCTGGAAAAGAATATGGTCCACCACTGCTCTGTCACTCCTACGAGCTGTAGCTAAGCAATATGGGCTATCCTTCAATGTTATCTTCTACTCCAGATGTCCCTCATGGGTTGCGAGTCGGCTAGCCCAGAATAAGTAATAATTGTCCCGAGGTTGCTGGGACAAAGCAGAACATGGGTTTCAATCCAACGCTACCAAATAAAGTGGCCTGCCTGTGGTTACAGTGTAGATGGGCACACCTAGTCCCTACATATATCCATGTCCGGTCAATACTTATTAATGCCCCAT